TTTTTTGTTTTTTACCTGCTTTCACATTTTGATAGTTTCCAAGTGGCTTCAAGTGAGATTAAAGATGAAGTAAAGCGTTTTGGTATTGGATAGGGAAGCTAGGTTGTGTGTGATAAAATCTAAAGGCAAAACACACGAGTTCCTTTTAAAATCGGGATGATTTATTAAATTATCCTAAGATTAAGGAAAAATAACATGTAAATCATCAAATAAAACACAATTTTGCTAATTGTAGCAATGCTTTTATGTTACTTTTATAATATTAAAAGGATTTTGAATTGGTTTAATTAAAGTTGGGGCTAATATTGAGAGCAAAGGATATTATGCTGTTTTTAAAATAAGTTTTTTTCATATGTAAAACTTTTAAACTAACAATAAAAATGTTTTTAATAAAATACCTTTTAATTGTTTACGTTTTTGTCTTTATTTATAAGACATTTGCCTCCTTTACTTTGATTCCGTCGCTCCAGAAGAGTCAATCTGCAGATGTGTGGCCATGAAATCAGATCGCTTTCCAAACTAGAGGTCAAAACTAAACTTGCTCTGTAAATTTCTATTTACAAGCAAATAAAAAGAAAAAAAAAAGACTGATGTTTTAGAGGTAAATTTAATGTGGGACCCAACCGAAGGGAACGGGTCAGAAAGGACACTTTGCTGCTGTTTTTATATAGTCAAGGATAGATAATAAAACCTGCTGTTTTATAGTCGTCCTTTTTTCTGACCAGGTTTATCTCTTTAATGTAACAGGAATGGTATTTATTTACTTAGTGTTGGAATTAATAAAAATAAAACGGTAAAACATAAAGATCCTGAAACAGTTATTATCCCAGTCTGGATTATTTTAATTATATTAAGAATATATGACAAATTCCTATCTCAGTTCAGGGGTTCTTATTACTCAACTGTATGAGTTTGATTTTCATTATTAAAGAATAAAAAAGCCCACAATTATTCATGGTTTATCTTTGTGCTTTAGGGCTAAATGTTTAAATCATTTTCAATCAGACACAGTTGGAACTTTTAAAAAGTCTATCCATGGAAAAACAAACTCCTTTCAGCTCGGTATGCATGCAATGAAATGTAAAACTTTAAGATTAAAGCTTGAGAAATACTGTAAAACAAAAAGAAAACGTGTCACGACAGTGATAATCTTAGTTTTAGTTGGTACGGGGGAAAAAGAAACACTTTGTGCTTCAATCAAACGGTGTGTGAATTCATGAACGACTGGAGTCTAAAGTGCTTTGGAGTGAAAAAGGACTCTAGAAGTACGGACCATCAAATTTTAAACACAAAAAATTTTAATCATGAGTTATTTATATATATATATATATATATATATATATATATATATAACAACTTAATGTTCAGGTTTCAGCTTATTTTAAAGTTTATTGTTGTTTTCTAACTCAGTCATTCTGTCAATGAGAATCAAACAGTAGTGAAAAGATTTTATTCATCTAAAAAGTGTGAAGTGAGTAAAACTTTACACATTTCTGTTTAAAGTGCACCTTGATCAAATAATTTTAAGGACTGATAATTGTTTAAACCTCCTGGTTAGTAGCAGATCTCTTTGATCTTATAATAAAATGTAGATTCGTAAAAAAATAATTTGTTTCTCAAATATTAAGTCGATATAAAACAAGACAGAATACAATTTTCAGTTCATTAACATATTTTTTTATCATAAAAATTATTTCATAAATAGAATTTTTTTTTAAAATGGCATTATGTTCACTTAATAAGAGAAAGGATAAGTTGTTTCTATTAGTTTTTTGAACAGTTATACTTAAGTTTCTACTGCGTAATTAGGATAAAATACAGGCTACTAATAAAAAAGGAAGCCAAAGGGTGCAATAATCTTATAATAAGAAATAATAAAATTATAATACAATAATAAAATTAGTTCATTTGTTTATTTTCATCGGTGTGTAATTCAAAACATGTTACAGCTATTGCTTAATAGGCACATCTGTTTTTTTCTGTTGCTTTATTAAATTATTCATGTTAAGAAATGCAGAATTAACGCGTATAAACAAGTCAAAATAAACTTTACTTTGGTTTTTCAGGTCGTCTGAACTCATCTGAACCGCGTGCCTACAGGGAAACGCATGAAAAACCTTAGGTTAATTGCCAAAAAGATTTTTTTTTCTTCCTAACTCCCTCCCTGCAGACTCCTGACGCACACATCTACACACACCGATCCGCACGCGCTTCATTTCCATCCCGAGGATCCCACGGCTCAGAAACGCCCCTGCTTCCTTCCGATTGGTCCGCTCCTGTAAACAAACGGCGGCATATTTTTTCTCCCGGACGCTGATTGGCCGCCGCTGCCGTCACTCTGATTGGCTGCTCCTTAAAAGGCGAGCGGCTCCTGCAGCTCCTGTCACTGATGAGAGGAGGCTGCTGCGCCACCGAGGAGCGAAGGGCGCAACTCCACAGCTCAACCCGCAATTATGACCCTGCTTCTGTCCATCACTTTCAAACAAAGCTTTATGCTTTTTTATTTTTAATTTGTTTTTAAATTTTATTATTATTTTTAGTTGTTTTTTTTTTTTTGTTGGGGGAGCATGAGTTTAATTTTGCGTAAACTGCAGAGGTGCCTGAGGGAGTGAGTTTGGGCACTATGCGCCGCTGGGATCCGATTTGCACCAGGAAGGCTTATGGAATATTATAGGCCGGTTTTCCACAGTCTGCATGCATTCTGCTCCAGCACCGTGAAGAAGAAACTTCTCCTGCTCAGCATCATGTTCATAGTCTGGGTTTACATGCTCTACTCCTGCGTGGGCTCCTGCTCCACGGTGCCCGGTCAGGTGATGTTGGACACCCCCTCCGCCAGAGAGAGCGCTCCAGCGGCGGGCAGGAGGTCGGACCTGGTGTCCAGACTGCTGGCCAAGCCGCAGCCCTGGGAGGACGTGGAGAGCGACTACGAGGAGCCGCCCATCAGGACGGCGGCGTCCAGAGACCTGCTGGACGCGGACCGGGGTTTGAATCCAAGCGGCATGTCCAGCTTCTCCAACGGCTCCGGGAGCAAGAAGCTCCCCCAGGCGATCATCATCGGGGTGAAGAAAGGAGGGACCCGAGCTCTGCTGGAGTTTCTGCGGGTTCATCCGGACATCAGGGCGGTGGGAGCGGAGCCGCACTTCTTTGACCGCAACTATGACAACGGCCTGGAGTGGTACAGGTAAGAAAACAATTAATTATCCAATTAAAAAAGGACTTTTTATGCGTGAAGCTTCTAATCTGATGGATGCTCAGCAAAAAAAAACGACATAAATGTTAAATTTGGTTCAATAAAGCTCAAATTTGATCTTTAATATTTCACATTTTACTGAACATTAATATAATTAATTGCTCTCATAAATTGAAATCTATTTTAATTAAGCGCAAACTGAACAGACGTGTAACCTGCGATCCTGGTTTATTTCTAAGCATTTTTTTTGCATCTGTTAGATTTAATTAATATTTTTTAAAGCTTTGTTGCAGATTTAATATTCGCGCATGTAGTTGTATTTTAAAGCCCATTATGACGCCGAGTTTCTCTGAAGCTGCTGCGGGGAGCAGAGGCTGGTTCCTCGATGCGCAGTGATCTCTGTTGGACGCGGCGCAAACTGCACCTCCAGCTGCGTCTCTCTCCACTTTTTAATAGTTTAAGATCTCAGCCTGGTGCTGCAGCTCAACTCAAAGCACCCAGAAACGCATCAGAGTTACATTTGAAGGTTTTTTTTGTGTGCAGACTTTAAAGCTCTCAGGTAAGTTTATTTGTGTTGCAACGTGGGCGAATTCAGACTCGCCTCTGCGTAAAGACGCGCCCGATAAACTGAAACTTTGCGATGATGATTGAATAAAATTTGATTAGATCTTTAAAACCTGCCAAGCTGTTACAAATAAAAAAAAAAAGAAAAAACACCTCTGGCGCAAATAAAAGCTGAACGTCACTTTTCCTTTTTTTTCTTCTTCTTTTTTTTCTCCTTTGCATGAATTATTCATAATCACTTCAATAATAAGATGTTTTATAGTATAAAAAAAAAAGAGACTGAATAAACTGCAACTGTTTTAATAAATTAAACTTACAACAGGTTTTCTGGGGAGAATAAAAGTTTAGTTTGTGTAATTTTTAGAGACATATAAACTTTACATAAACATGAACTGAAGAAGTTTTTTTTCCTTTTTTCTGGTTATTCCATAGAAACAGTGAAGAATTTAGAGAACTATTTAAATAAAAAACCTTTCATGACCTATAAGATAAAGTAGACATGATCTCTAGATTTGAAGTTTGAAATTATATAAAGAGAAATGTTCTTAATTTTTAACTTCTGATACTGAAAAAACGAAAATTATTTTAAAAAAGTTAAAAATTAATGAACCATAAAAGTAATTTCAGAGGCTACTTTAAGTTTAGTTTGCTCTTTAAGATGGGGCCTGCAAAATGGACACTTTTTTTAGTGAAATATAAACTCCCTCCACAGCAAATGGATGAAGGATGCGAAGCACTCAGTAATATTTTTAATTATATTTGATTAAAATGCTGCAGGAATCCTCTTAATCATTTCTGTAGATGACCTTCACTGCAAAAACGATCTTGAAATAAGTAAAAATGTCTTAAATTCAGTGTATTTACCCTTAATTTGAG